GCCAGGACCTGTGAGAAGGGCACGGAGAGGATGTGAGCGCACGCTCCACCAGGAGGCAGCCGAGGTAAGTAAGCAGCAGAGAGAAGAACAGAAGGCAGAGAGAAGAACAGAAGGCAGAGAAGACCCATAAGGGACAGGAGCAGGTAAGAGCAGGGGAGGAAATTGACAGGGGCAGGAGGGAGGACCCAGAGGAGAGGAACAGAGAGAGAGGGAAAGAACAGAGAGGGGGAGAGAGAACAGGGGGAAACAGAAATAGGAAACCAGGGGGCAATAGGAGCGCAAAAGGAGGGCTCCTCTGACCAGGGAAAGTAGAGGGGGGGCAAGAAACTGAAGGGGTAGGGCAGTGAGGAAACTGAAAAGGGGGGGAATGAAGAGACTGAAAAGGGGGGTGTGTGGGTTGGAGAGACCCCACTGGGCGCCATCCTCACCGGCAGAGGAGGCCCCCAGCCCAGGAGAGATCCCCCCAATGGCAGTACAGAGTACCCCATGCGGCCCCGCCGGGCCCACTCACTGCCGGGGTCCCATTCTTGGCCCCACCACCGCGGTTTCGGAAGGCCGCTGGATGGCCACACACTTTGCAGGACGCGCTGCCCACCTCCTAAGCCTCCGGCATGATCCCACCGCCAGATGCCGCAGCCTGTGATCCGGCTGCAGGAGGTCCCACGCGGCCGCAGTAGTCCACGGCGCGGCAGTTGTAGGCCGCGTGTCTGGAGCCTTGGACACGCGGCCAGGTTATGCCTCGGGCCTGGGCTCCACCTCCTCAACCAGACCCGAAGAGCAGTATCGGGGGGGGGGGGGGCAGCTGAGTTGGCGGGCAGGAATGCTGGCCGGCACCATTACGGCCCCCAGGAGCAGGCCCCAGATGAAGACAGGCCTTGGTGGGGGGGGGACCCACGCCGGCAGCGACCCCAGGGGAAAGGATATCACCTGGGTCAGGAGTCGTCAGCCATGATCTACGCTGCAGCAGCTTGAAGGGAAGCCAGTAGGCTTCAAACTCATCCCTCAAGCAGGCAAACAGGAGCAGGAGGACAGGAAGCTGTTTGCTGGCCCGAATCCCAAGTGGCACTGAGGTAAGACCTAACCCACACGCTAATTTACACAGAACATAATCCCACCCACACATTCTTTCCCAAAACATAATCCCACCCACATATTCTTTCCCAACCACTCCCCTGCATCTATCCCCACACTCATACATGTGACTTTGTCCGCTTAGCTGCGCTATTTCCCCAGGGTCTAAACTCCCATAACAGACACAAACACAATTCAATATATTTGTGCTATACAGGATAAATGCAACAACTCCACTCAAAATAGCAGTGTCTACTTGTTATCGATTTCTTTTAGTTTGTAAAACAGAAACCACATCCTAATTCCAGCTGAGATCTCCACTAAGAACTAGACAATTGCATACTGCTCTCCATACGTTACTCAGGAGGTTGGCTACATCAACTGGATCCATTTAATTTTAGGTGAAATCAACCCAAAAAAAGCCGAAAGCTTTTACAGATCTTACTACTGTGTTTATTTCATTTTATATTTTTTATAGACATTTCACACTGTTGCAGAGTAAATTGTGATTCCAAGTTTGATAATATTTAATATTTGTTTTACTACTACCTTCTTTGCAGTTGCCCTTTAAATTATTAAAAAGGCTTGCAGAAACTCGTGTCTACACATGTGTGAAATTTGAATTCTTTCTCTTGAAAAGAAATCGCAGTTTTAATAAACAAAAAATGAAAAGATACTGCCTTAGTTATGACTGTCGCAAGACATCAGCATTTCAGGGAGATATTAAGATACCCAGTAGGATGATAAAAACTGGAATGACTACAAAAAATAGATTCTATGAAAATGACTTCTGTTTCACAGTGCTTCTTTGGGACAAATCCAACAGGAATTAGCTAATTCCAATAACACGATGGGCAACTGTTACCCAGGAAAAAAAGCATTATGAAAACCAAATGTAAGTATTATCCACTGTATATATGTCCACAGGCCTGCCATCACCAGAAGTGCTTGTTAGTATGTGCAACTGATTGCATTTTTTAATCGGAAATCTATAGTTTGATTTTCCAGTTTTAAGGTTCAAATAAAATAGAATAATGAAATAAATTAAATTTTCATCTGATGACAAAAAGTAAAAAACAAAAACCACATTTTCCGTAATATATATTTTGTAATATTTGAGGTACTTCTATAGGGTGACAAATGGTTCCATATAGAGGGGACTGTGAGACTGGCACAAACTATTCA